GCGACGAGCTCCCTGAAGCGGTGGCAGGCGGCCGGCGACATCCCGAGCTTCCTCGGGGAGCAAACTCCCGAAAGCGAACCCCTTGCAAGCTTCGAGGCTTCGAGGCCAAGCTGCTCGTTCACACGGTCGAGGAGATTAGCCACATCGGGGTCACGCACGAAAGGGGCACAGTGACCTCAGCAAACGCAGATGCGATCACGCGTCAACAGCGCAAGGAACATACGATTGTTGCGCCGACAGGCCAACAACTTCCGGCGCCGTCTTCGTCGGCGGGAGTGACGTCACCAACACTGATTTTGCTGAGTCCCGGTCGGATCATGTCCTGCACGCCCGCCTCCCAAAACAGGAACGACGAATTGGAGACGCTGCACATCGCGACCAAGATCATGGAGAATCTCACAAAGTAACTTGGAAATCTGCAAACATATAGGCATCCTTCAATCTATACATGCATGGTGTTGGCGCACGAGCCAGGTTGCACTGCAAGTCAGATGCCTCAAAAAACAAATGCATGTATGTGCACATGTCTGCTAGCAACTACATCCATCTACATGCGTTTGTAACCATCGCCCTCTGATTCTACCTGTAAACATACATACATACATGCATACATGCATACATGCATACGTGCATACATGCATGCATACATGCATACATGCAGACAGACAGACCGACAGACAGACATTTGCATACATGCATACGTGCATCCACTCATTCATGCATCCATACCTGCATGCCTGCATGCATCCATGCGCCAATCCATGCATCCGTGCGTGCATGCATCCCTGCACACCTGCATACACGCATGCCTGCATACCAGCATACCTTCGTACCTGCATACACAGACTATACACGTGTGCCTTTATACATATATAAATGTATACAACATCAGACATATAGACATATTTACTGTGTACATAACTTAACCGAAAACACAATTATATATGTATCCATACATATATGTAGATATATACATATACAACTACATATACATATCCATGTACATATACTTGTATGTAGCTATATACCCACAATTATACACACACATGTACTATGTTGATTCATACATATCTGTATATCTATTTATATGTATACATATACATATAAATATATATATATATACATATATATATATACACAGGTAGATAGGTATAAATGCACGTGTACGCCTATACACAAATACATACACATATATCTTTGTATGTGCATGTGTGCACATATACTATGATGTGTGTATATATAGATGGATAGATAGATATGTAATATGTGATATATAATGTGTATATTATATATATCTATATGTATGCTATGTATATATACAGAAAGCGTCGGTTTGGGGGCGCCATTTTGTTAGGAATATGTAGGTGCGTGTGCAATGCTGGTCTCACTATCCGGCCTTGGAGGGAGCAAAGCCGTACTGAGGTAGCAGCCGCGTCTGCACCAGAAGAGCCAGCTCTGCTCCTGGTTAAGGGTTTAGGGTTTAGGGTTTAGGGTTTAGGGTTTAGGGCTTAGGGTTTTGGGTTTAGGGTTTAGGGTTTAGGGTCTGGTACTATGCAGATTTTGCGGGAGATCTCAACACAGAAAGAAGGAAGACCCTTTTTAGCTCTTACTGCTACGGATCCTGGACTAGTTAGGGCCTACTCGGTCCCTTGTTCGCTGAAACTCACGTGTGTCGTCGTACCACATTACACAATTAGACTGTCTTGCAGTTGCAAAATTTTTGACGCTGCAACATGAGATACCGTTCCATTACGAGTTGGCATTTCATGTAAGAAATACAGATCTGCACACTCGTCATTTTCAAGCAAGGCTGAAGTCAAATGCCATGCAAGTCTTGGTTGTTTCAATACACTGTGCAGCGCAGTATCTGCGGCACCGTGACATGGCACTCCAGAACATGACCCAAGACAAAACAACCGTATACGAGAGTGTACACGTGCATGTTTAGTTTGCCTGTGCATACACATACACCTACACCTGCACCTACACCTGCACATACACATGCACATACCCACATACATATACAAACATGCACATCTACATCGTGACATACACACAGACAGACAAGCAGAGAGACAGAAACAAATGTACAGCGAAGGCACGCCCCTCCAGGTGATAGTAGCCGTCCGGGTCTTCGAAGCCTGGCACGGAGGATCGTAGAGAGAGGTGTCGCAAGGGAACTCCGGCTTCTGGCTGCAGAGACTGGTGAGCCTTGTTCCATTGGTCTGCTTGGATTGAACACCTTGGCAGGTCCAGATAACAGCAGCTGCTACAAGTATGGTTCTGAAGCGGTTTTTGGCTCTTCAGCAAACTTCTTGAACCTTTCTGGCATCTCGCCAGCTTGAGAAAAAATGCCCTTGCAGAGCGAGCTGTTTGCTGACTCGCAGCCATTCACAGAGATTGCAAAGAATGGAGATTGCATGCTTCGCAGAAAGCATGAGGTAACTTAGACTTACTCGCGCCTGAAGCGAGGCATTAGCCACGGATAAAACTTTTCATAAAGCCTTTGTACTAGAGCCTCATCTTCAATCTGAGCCCAGCACGTTCAATCAACAGCCGCCACGGCAGCACTTTCAACAAGCTTTTCGAACAAACGGTTTGAGCAGACCGGCCCTCCCCATGAGACCAGAATTTTGACGCGTCGAACCGAGTCCGGGGAAAACTTCTGTCTACTGACTGGCTTTTCAGCGTTGCACACAGATCTCGGCAACTCTAGCAATAATCATAACCATATTAAGTATTAAGTCTACTATGAACAGTAAGCATGCTAACAATACTCGTCAGAATGATCCGGATTGTAGTAGCAGCAATAAGAACAAGACGAATGACAACAAGAGTGAGAATAAGCCCTATAAGGATAATGGAAAGGGAGTCAGATCTTACAAAACTCTGCAAGGATCAGAATCATAACCATAATGATTCTGATGATGATACTAGTACCAAAAATCACATGAATATAGGTGCCAGCAGCATCGCAACAGCTTAGAGGACATCAACCCTGAACACCGACACACTTGGACCAGGTTGCACGGCCAGAGTTGTAGTCAGCACACTTCTTCAACTCCTCCACGTCCGCCTAATTAAGGAGTCTCCGCAATCTATAGAACCCGAAAATACTGCAGCACACGAGCAACTGCATCCTGCGTAGTAGCCTAAAGTAATTTCTGCTCACCTCCCAACACTCGACAGCGCCTGGAAGGTGGCCTTGCTGAACTCGATGAGTTGAACTCGAAGCCTCGGAGATCACGCTTCTAGGCATCTTTCAGGACATTCGTGTGAGAGCAGCTGAGACACAAATCCATGATTCGATGTTTGGTAACAGGTCTCGCGATGAGCTTGTTCTTCTCATTCATCTCCATGGGCGGAACTTCCAAGGACAGCAGCTCCTTGATGGCTACGTCGTTGACCTGCGGACCACTCGCTACCTTCTGCGCCCACGAGACACGGGCGTGCCTCAATGTCGGGATCCTTCTCCAGCGCTTTAAATGTTCGCAGCATGCTGTGGACCCCCTCTTCAGATCCATCGAAACCTCAGCGATGATTGCTGCGGTATGCAGTCCGGATCGAGCTGCTCAGGAATACAAGCATGAACCTGAAACGGAGATTACCAGGCTACCCCCCTTCACTTGTACCTGCCAAGTGCTGCAAGTTACCTACCTGGCCTTTCCTTATCCTTCTTCGCATATGGAGCATGTGCTTTGTCTTTCCTACGATGATTACTAAATTAGCAGTTGCCGTTGTGGGGTCGCTCAAGTAGTGAGGAACTTGGGAATGCCATCACCACATCGTGATCCGCTTGTGCTAGGTTGAGTTTTCGCTGCTTTTCGACAGAACCGGGCAAGACGCGAGGAAGGGAACCAACGACTCCGCAAAACAAACCTGCGCAGGATCTCCGACGCTCACGCGATGCTCGACCGTGCAGAGTCTGATGTCCAGTCAAGTTCAGCAGGTCTGGAATCGAAAACAACGTAGCTTTGACAGTGAACTGTCACCACACCGGCATGTTCAAAGATGACTATCAACGCAAGCTGCCGTATCTGGGGATGATGTCCAACTGGATACGCCGCACCAACTTGCACAGCTCAGAGCGTAGCTTGCTGCTGGTCCTTGCTTGTGCATGCATGACATGAAAGAAACTACACCGCACCATCGCAAACTATCGGAGCATATGGCTGAAGAACGGAAATAGTAAGCGACCCCTGAAATCCTTCTAACAGTTGTGTTACACGACGCCATCGTGCCACCGTCATGCGCAGCAGACCACTACCAGACCCAAACATACTCTTGCCCTGCTACGTTCTGTCACTTAGCAACGTGCCTGTCCTTCCATGAACCCACTTGCGTGCTAAAGCGGACGCAAGAAGCAAGACTGCCTGTCAAGTGCCCCCTGTAAGCGAAGACCGCAGGCCAAGTGTCCCATACCTTCGACCAATTTCGTGAAGCTGCTTCTGAAAAGCCGGTGTGCCGTAGGCTGCCATCAGCTCCAGCTGCAGTGTGATGGCCCGTTCTTTCGTTAGTCCCGGAGTTTCGGGCTGCTCGCCCTGCTTGGGACTTTGAGGGGCCTCCTGGATCGCCTCAAGTTCTGCAGCTTTCACGTCAGGCTTTGGCTCCAGCTGGGCTGGCTCCGGCCGCGTCCTGCTGGCCGCGAGCAGCGTGGGAAGGGCCGGAGGCCGCGGCAGGTCAGCTCTGGCCATCGTCTCAGCCATGGCAACGATTTCTTCTGATCTTTGGAGCTTGAGCCGCTCGGCACTCGACTGCAGGTCGATCTCCAAAAAAGAAACCGCATGCCCTCGAGGTGCCTACATCTCCTTACACCTGGCAGCACTGACTCACAGCGCAAGCATGCTATGCATGTGGCTTTTCACTCTCCCCCGTTCAGCTTCTCAGGCCTAGCATTCAACCACAGGTGGCAGCCGGGCAGACTTCAACAGCAGATCTAGTGCCATGGCGCTTCGACTTCGACTTCAAGTCGCACCCAGCTGTCAGCCGAGGCCAAATCTCTAACCTGACCCATTCTCTGAATTCGTAGCCGTGGCCACAGCTCCCTGCAGGAGCTCATGAAAAGGATCGGCTTCATGTCGCCAGTTACCTGATTGCACAAAAACTCAGATGACCCGAAGTCCGAAGTTCCCCTTAAAGTCGCACCTTTCGAAGTGTCCAGCTTCCTCTGCGCCGCCAGCTCCAAGGCCGAGATAGAGTGCGAATCCAGTTGCCCAGGATCGGCATTTGCTGACAGGAGAGCTCGGCAAACTTCCAGCCTTGCCAGGATGCAGTTTAATCTTCACCCGGAGCCCGCACAAATTCTCGGCCAGAAACCTCGAAGTACCGAAGTTGCATGTGCATATCAACTACCATCGACCAGTACCGCCCCACAACTGCTTTTGCCCCGACAAATGGTCATGCTAGTCCAACTGTGCTGCTACTGCTGGTACTACTACGAACAACAATAATCATGCTGCCACTGCTGCTACCACTACTACGACGACAACGTCGACTACGACTACCACGACCGCCACCATTGCCGGGTGCTTGTCCCATCAAGGCCTGTTGGCTGCCACAGCTGCATGCAAAGGAGTGCGGCCGAGAGCGTCGCGGGCGCCTGAATTCAGCAGGCTGGCTGCAGTTATCCGCCAAGGCTTTGGTGTCTGGATTTGTTCCATTGCCATTCCCAGGCTGCTGGTTGTGGTGGCAGGCAGGATGAAAGCGTTTCCTGGCTTAGTCTTGACGTTCCCTGCCTTTCGGAGAGGCCCCCCTTCCAGGTCTCCCCAATCTGTTCACCATGCAGGAACTGTGTTGCAAACCATGTGCAGCATGCTCAGCAAGGAAATCCTTCTGCCTTCTTCAAATTTCTAAGTGAGTCTAAATAGTCATACGAACGCAAACGATTCCATGGCAAAACGAATCGGTGTGTTATAGTTTGCAAAAGCAACATACCAGCAGCTTCTTGATCCCCTGACTGCCCTTCAACTGGTCACACCTGCACGAGCAGCTGCCGCAGCTTCGGGTCGAGCAGCGAGCAGCCCCACAACCACCTCAAACAGATCTTAGCAGATCACTTCACCAACCCGTGGTGCTGCTCCAGACATGCCGTCGTGTCGTGCGCCTGAAAGGAGTGTCTACTTTCTCGAAATCAAAGCTCTGGACTCGTACCCAACTTATGGCAATCTGTAGTGCTGGAGCACAGCTTCGAGACTCACCATAAGGCTCCGTCCTTTTCTGCGCCTGCTGCGTCACTGCCACAGATGGCCTGAGACATGAGACACACAGCGAAGCTCTGACTCGACACTGCAGAGCTACCCTTGCACGACAGCATCCTGAAGTCAAGTTGGGAGAGCCTTGCATCGTAGCACGATGACGGCATCCCTCGAACGAACAACACCGGCCGTGTGCTCAAAACTACCCTGTGCCTTGTGCAGCAGCTCGGCGACTTCGGTTTCACCGATCGGCTCATGAATCCGCTGCAGGTCTCTGATGAAGCCAGCGTGATTGCCTTTGACGGGGCTGGCAAAGATCTTGCCGGAGCCCCCACCAACAAAGCAGCTCAACTGCCCCAGAATTACGCGGTGCCTGCCGCGGCTGCAGTCTGCAGCTGCCGCAGGAAAAAGACTCCTGAGCGAGAAGGGTCTTCTCTGTGTGTGTGGGGTCTTTCGGCACTCGCCGAATTTCGTCCGTGGCAGTTGCACAGCCCCTTTAAACTGTACACTGGCCAGGTGGCGCTGCATTTGGCTCACTGCGGCAGAGGCTGCTGCCCGTGCCTGGGGAAACTGCGGCCTTCCAGGGATGAGACTATGAACTGACCTGTGCGGACCTGTGCGAGGTGTTCTGGGGCACGGTATGCCAGGGTAAAATGGTCGTGCCTATTTATCTATTCTGAACCCAGGAACAAAAGCCACAATCATGCAAAACTCTCATGGCGTAGTACAGTATGGCACATGACAGTACGTCATTGTGCAAGACCATGTGGTAGAATATACTTCGGTCTGACATAACATTTTCAAGGACAGCATGTCTCATCCTTTGCAACTGTACTCAGCAGCATACACTCAAGTGGAGCGCAACCTAATCGTGTAGACTGGCATATCAGAGATGTGCCAAACAACGGCTTCAGCTGAGACTCCGGACAGAACCACGAAACACCGAACATGCTGCGCGATTCGGTGAGAACAGACATAATTAGAGTAAATCGCAAAGCATGTTCCAACTGGTGTCCTTATACAGTACGGCGCACGCTTTAATGTTGCAGAGGCTGTGTTGAGCTTCAGCGCCATCTATCCTGCTCGTTCTGTTTTAGTTCGTCGTGCACCGGTGACAGGATACGACGAATGGCGCTTTTTCTTGCAAACTGTGATATGATGCAACGTGGCATGCTGTCAACCTGGATGACATATCGTAATATTGATCGCAAGATGATATGACATGATAAGCGAATAAGAACCCCCTTCTATCTTCTCGCACAGGAGTCTAGGCTGCAACCAAGCATACAACAGACGTACGGTGCACAGTCGGGAACCGAAAGAGCACAGCCCTTGGCCACGTCTCAATGAAATACGGCAGTGCAAGAAAAACACCTCCGAGAAAGACGCAGTAACCACGGGATGCTGTTACAGGTTGGGATCAGAACAGCCAAGACAGGGGATCCTACTTCTGCACACAACCACGGTACCTTTTTGCTGTGCACGCACACAAAAACACCTACAATGCATCACGGTTGCTCTGAGATGCGATCGTGCTCACTGCTAAGAGCCAGCCTCTTCAGAGCCGGCAGGGCTTCGTCCACCTGCAGGGCGACACTTTGGAAGTAAGCGCCCTCTAAGAGCCCTGACGGGCCGAGACGAGTTCAGATGCCTCACAGGACCGATCTTTGCCTTGCGGACGTGTCGTGCCATGCCGTGCCTCCTCGGGAGAGCTGACAGAGCCGGGCTCGAAGAGTTTGTTGCGTGTGGGTGTTGCCGGTGGGCGCTCCGAGCGGTGCCGCTTCGAGGGCGCGGAGGCTTGGGTGGCCTTGGGTGCAACCGTGGTAGCTCTCAACTCGAAGCACGTTCATGCGATTACGCTTTCTCGACATGCTGACTTTGCCGAGTGGCCAACTGGGGAAGTTCGTGGCCTGCTTGGATGAGGAACAATGCAGCGGCCGTGCCGTGTTTGCACAGTCCCCCTCGCGTTCTGAAGTCCACGCAGCCGCAGCGGGCATCCACCTGTCTGTTGTTGCGGTTCGAAGGTATGTTGCACGGGGCCACCCAATGGCCCGGTCGCAACAGTTTCAGTTGTCTACATGTTCACCAGACTCCCACAGGGATAAAAGCAGTAGAACCCTTTGACTTGCATGCGTGAGGCTAGCGGCTAAGGGCTGGCTGAACTGATCTCAACTGAAGACTGGTGAGCACCGCAAAAGGATCCAGAAAGAATCCAGATCGAGCAGAGGAGAACACCTCCCCTGCTCCAGCGATTGACGTGCGCCCCAGCCGCACAGTGTAGGCTTTCCCGCCTTGCTCCTTAAATGCAGCCACTGCACGAAACATGCTGCGGATCCCAATCATCCCAGGAGTCTCAAGCTCTCCCTGATCTTTTGCTAGGCCCAGGCACGCTCTGAACCTCTGCCGCCACTCCACCATCTAGGGACCTGTCACCGGCGGTGGAAAGGAGCACATGCGCCTGTCATCACCTCTCTGATGCTCTTTGCGGGGCAAGTGTGTTGGGTCATGACTCAGTGTCATCCGGTTGTGGGCCGTAAGCAAGGTAAGGAAAGGCACCGGCCCGTGATCTTCACCGCCCGCCGCTTGAGCAGCTCCAACCTTGGAAGTTGCTCTGGGCAGATAAAGTCAACGTGAGACGGCCTGGTTCCGGGAGCATACGCCTAAGCAGCCTGGTAGCGCTTTCTTCATGCTCCCAGGGTTTGCACCTGTCGCAAGCTTGGTGCCGGAGTACTCTTGCTGCAGCGAGAGACTGAAGTCTTGGTGACTGCTATGACCACGACAGCAAAGCTTTCGCCAAGACCAGATAGACTAGACTCACAGTCAAGCAGTCTCAGGGAGGAAGCATCACGGCTTAGACTTGACCTGGCCTTTCTGGACGGCGACGAGATCGCCGCTGCATGGAAACTCCTCCATGGCAGCTCGCAACCCTGATAAGTATCTAGAGGTTTTGCTGCTGCATCCGTTCTCGACGAAGCAAGATAGAAGTCTCTGCTTTGAGCCTTTGTGTCATGTCATGTCATGTCATGTCATGTCATTGTCCGCTCAAATGGAAGGCCTCCACACGGTTCAGAGCACCGATTGTCTCGTACATCTTGCTGCCTGAGCACCTATGTCCTATGTTCTGTGTTGCCTCAGAGCCGAAATGTGAGGAAAGAGCCACATTCGTCGCACAAAGCATCGCTGCAGTCACCGCTGCCGTCCATCAAACTTACCATTGATGTACCTTTCAATGTCCAGACACACTGCTGGCAGCTAGCTACAAGTAGCACACATGTTCGAGAATCGCAGTCCAGCTCTTCAGCGCTTCGGCGCCTTTCGTCTGGTGGATGCTGGCGACACGATAGAAATGGAACCTCGGCATGGCACTTGAGCTGTGGCAGCGAGAGCTTCACTTGTAGCACCGCAATGCCTGCTTGGTGCAGCTGGGCGCCCTTCTGAGTCGTGAGATTCTGAGAGCAGAAAGGCCACTCGCAGACTAGTTCAAACGGTCTGCACGGAAGGCTCGAGACCCCATTTTTGCGACTGACCGATGATGCTAGCATCCGGATGGTTTCATTACACGGGCGGCTGCAGATTCCCGCAGCACCCGGCCTCAACAGCCTGATCACAAAACACTGCACATCGCAGGCGCAGAGGCCACGTCCTATCTGTCTCTCAAATAATTCCGCAACTGCGGCAGCTCACTCACGCTTCACTGGTCTTTGGAGGCTCTTGTCGTCGGCACGGAACTGCACCATGGTGTTGAACCTGACACACTAAAAAGAGGCCGAAAAAAGGGGAGAAGCCAGAGCTTAGCAGACAAACATTCAGTGGTGCCGGGCCCCGCACTTGACGATGTATTGCTTGTCTCCCAGAGTCATGGTGTACTGCTTGAAGCCCTTGCTATACGCCGTCTCCAACTGCTTGTTCATCTTCCCGTTGTAGGCCGTCCAGGCCTGCAAAAAAAAAGCTCACATAAAATCGCAGCAAGCGCCTCTCGGACTCAGCAAAACGATCCAGAAGCCTTCGGATCGTCTGCGCCAACCTTCATCTTGCGCAGGTCACTCATATAGTACCATTTGCCTTCCCCGGCCACTGTCTCCTACACAAGCGAAATCACACCACGGCTGCCCTGCCCAGGCGCAATTCAGCAACGCAGTGGCAGAAGTGCTTCCTCTAACACACTTCGGAACCTTATCCGTCCTTGCTCTTGGATTTCTTCAGCTTGGATGAGACAGCCGCAAACTCCTTCGCTGCAACCGCCTGAACATTCGGATCGCTTCGCCCGAAGGCGAGCTGACCCGTCGCGGCACACAAGAAAGAAGAATGCCTTGGCTGCGGCCTTGGTTGCTGCCTTGATGACCCCACCGCGGCCAGGAAGAGCCTTGCACTTTCCGTGTCTTCCCGGAAGCTGGGCCCAACAAGCCCGAGCAGACACGTCTGGGCCTTGGCTTTGGCCTTGGCCTTGGCTTTGGCCTTCGCCTTGCCCTTGGCCTTCGCCTTTGCCCACCATACAATGAGCATCCCGAAGGATGGCAACCAATCGGTGTCAAGCCAAACTGTGGCTACCCACCTTCGCAACGACAGCGCCACGAGTTGGAAGCCCTTTCGCCTGAGGCCAGCACCAAATCTAAGTGTGCGGCACACGAGCTGCAAACGGGCTGTACCTTCTTGGCTGGGGGTTCAGGCTCATCCTCTTCTTCACCTTCATCTTCCTCCTCCTCAGCCTCAGGCTCCTCAGTGCTGGCACTGCACAATCCCTCGCAAGGACTGAAAGCACTGTCCTGCCTCCGGCTCCTCAGCTGCCTCCTCCTCTTCCTGCCCAACAACTCTACTGCGATAATTCTCTATCTGGCCACTTTTCTCGCCGCTCGCATGGGATGCAAGGGTAATCACATGCTTCAGGGGGCCATCTAGTTCACATCGCAGCCCATGGCCTTTGCCGCGGCTTTCGCGGCAGCTTTTCGCTTCGGCTGCACACGCGGCGGCATGATCCACAGCTACGTGCGGAAAGGGCAGGTTTGAGCTGGCAGCAGCTTGCTGGATGCTTGTGCCTTTTTGCTTCTTGTATGAGAACGGCGAGCTATCGGAAGTCTAGCATTCTCTAGCCCTTTTAGTCAAGCCGGTATCTCAATGACCCATGCGATCTGTGCACAGATCACCTGTGTTATCCATCATCTTGTGCCTGTGCATTTTGTCGCAGACACCTGATGTTAAGCCTCGTGCGTCCCGTCCATGGAGAAAGCGACATCCTGGATTCGGTGCAGGTCCTCAGGGCCGCGCAACGAAAAGCAAGAAGCAAAACCGTGTCGAACTTGCAACGAGCCCCCCGCAGGGAGCGCAACAAAAAGAATCCCAGGTCCTGTGCTGGCAGCTTGGGGTAATCCACGAGGCCACAGAGGTCGACGGCCTCCCCAACGCCTCTGAGGCACTCAATTGCTCGATGTACCGGATTGGCTCAGCTGGCACTGTCCCTTTTTTTGGAATCTATCAAAGCTTCTCGAAGCATCTCGAAGCCCTGGCCTAGAAAGGCCGACTCGTCTGCGGGTGAGGCCAAGACTCCTGAAGACCTGAAGGGCGTTTTCTTTGACGCTGCGCAGGTTGATAAGAAAATGTGCACCCGCTCCGGGTCGTGACAGCGGCTTACCTTCCATACCTGAGCTGGGCTACTGACCTCACGGCCACAGATCTGAAGGCGTGGAGCATGACCCCAGTCATCACCTGCTCAAGATACATGAGCGCTAGGCCTCCAGGGAACAAGCCTGTTCGGCCAACAGGCCGTTGATGAAATGGACGATATGCGGCAATTGCGCGATGAGTGCTCGTGCATAAAGTCCTATGGGCAACAGCCCGTAGCTTTTCCATCAGGGAGGGCGCACCGCCAGCATCACCGAGGCCAGGAGAAGCACCATCCTTGTCACTGTAAACATCTTGCAAGTTTCCCTCACCGCACGACCCGGTCCGTCAAAATTCCGAATGCTTGTTGGCCCAGGAAGAGCGCCTGGACTTCTGTTTATGGAGAGTACACATACATTACTTATTTATATATATATATATATGATATGATATATGATAACGTATTTACACACACAAGCATACATATGTCATATATCATCCCGGACATCTGAAAACCTGGAATGATTTCATATCGAAAAGCCGAAACAAGCGGGGTGGAAATACGAAAAGCGTAGCTAACTATAGAAACACTCATCATTACAACACCGTTGTGTTGCAAGACAACCGTACAAGACAATTCCAGTTTGCAAGTGCAAAGTTGATTTCAGATATTTCAGAAATCGAAGCCAGCAAACGTTCACGGTACCATCCACACTCGACGTAGACCCAAGGCACCATTACACTCTCAGGACCAACTCTCTACATGAAGCAGACCTCTGGCAAAAATTAGCGATGTTGATCAGTAAACCAAGCAACTTGAAATTCCAGTCCGGCGGAGCGTCGGTATCTTACTCTTGCATTTGCTATAAACCCTCCAGATCGTACCACATAATTAGCCAGCGTCTGTGACACTGCAGCTTTCCAGCTGGCTGGTACGCGTTTAAACTAGTACATGCTCTAACTATCCTGTAGCCTGCCTCTAGCGCAGGCGTATATATGCCACCTACAGTTCTGTACAGGTGTTGTACTTGAACGAATAAGGTGCTGCTGACCTTGCTGTCTTATAGTCATTAAAGGTTGACAAGAGGGCCACGAAAGCTAGGGGAAGATATGGCAAGGAAGCGTGGTAGAGGACGGGTGGGGCGACAAGTCAAGCGAATCTATGGCCGCACAGCACTGCGAATCACTCCGCATAGCTATGTACAAATGAAAAATTTCCTGGGCAGGTGTCTGCCAACCAGCTTTCTGCCTCCACTGCCGTTGCTAAATGCTGACAGCCGCTCCTACTTTCGTTGCAGGAGAACCAGAAAGCTGCCAGAACAAGTGCTTCGGACTCAATCGATTTAATTTGCGTGGTGGGGAAGGCCCCCCCTCCCCCAAGTTGAACCACCAGATAAGCTCCCAGATGCGGTTTTGATCGGTTTTGACTCGGTCCTCTGCTACTGGAGTGAATTGGTAAGCGACAACTCCCGCCAGCTCCACGGAACTTGCGTGACCTACCAGTCAAACACATTGTGTAAATTTGTGTAGATGTATACACCTCTCTCTATCACTATCTTTCAACAACGTTATCATCGACCCTCTCCAAGGGTTTAAAGGCATAGTCGACTGATGTCAACTGTCATTGGGATATTGTGCTGGGTCTGCATATGCTTTATGGCTCGGTGATTTAGAAACTTGTGGAGGAGGGACTGGGAAGAGCGCTAAAGCAGAGCAGCAGTGGACAAGCCGAGGCAGGCAAGCGGACTGTTTAGGAAAAGCATGCCGCCGGCCGGAGTCTTGTTGCTGATCTTGGTTGGCTGGGCGGAAGAGCTGAGCTTGAGAGTATGAGCCAAAGAAGGCACTGAGAGACAATCATGCTTGTTGCAATGTAGGAGGTTGGAACAGCGGCAGCACCGAACATCAAACGAGCCAAGCAAGCCACTCAAAAAGAATCATGCGCATCATTCATGCCCGGCCGGGCCGGCGCGGCGAGCATCATAAGCGTCATTGGCGCCCGGCCGGGCCCGGAAGGCGAGCATCATGAGATTCATTGGCGGCTCGTTTCTCCATTCCAGGGCAAGCCGACACACTCCCTTTTCATGCCCGGAAAGGAGGGGGTCTCGTCAGGCGGGAAAATGAAGCTCCACGTGCAGTCTAGCTCGTGACACCGGCACCGTTTGACAACATTTTGGGGGGCCCCTTTCCCCACACCCCTTGTTGCAACCTTCGGTTGATAAGAAATTCGATACACAGATAGGTAGCTATGTACAACTCGATCATGGAACCGAGTGCAATACTTGGTATGAAAGGCCTTGTGCAATGATATTACTGTGTAGTGCTGCGCTCCGACGTCTAGGTAGACTGCAGAGCATGTCTATATACTGCTGTACTTTAACATGTGCCGCTTGTATACATATATCTATATATATATATATGCACGGATTGCTCGATTCCATCACTGGGTTTGAAAGCTTGTCTGCAGCAGGACGCACTCCGCTGAGAAACTGCTGACGGACGCGAATCTACGAATGGCTGTGCTCAGAATTCTGGAACTGCCCGGGCCCCACGTCCAATGTCGGAAAATCTATCATTGTAGATGGTCTGATATTGCAAGCCTCGGCTCCACCATTTGGACTAGTGGCTTCGATAATACTTTAGGGCAAGCAAGAGCCAAAATGTCGAACAGATGGCTGCTGCTGCCTCTGTGGGTATCCGGCAGACAGAACTGACGTTTGAAGTTCACAACATCGGAAAAATGGCTCATGGAGGAGCAAAACCACGTCGGATGCTGCTGTGGGAATCTGGGCAACCCGAAGTTGGAGCACTGGGTGGCCTGCGTGCCTGCGCAGATCCTGCTCCTCTATAAGTACGTCTTTGCACACTGCAGCTGGACTCCGTACTGCTCACTGTATCCCTCACGTCATCTCGAAACTACCTACGTACCTGCCTGCCTACCTACACACATACATACGTACATACATATACAAATATATTCAGGTACATAGATACATACATACAAACATACATACATGCACTACACCTATATATATATATATATATATAGCTTTGTGAGCATTCACGTTTGATATGAATGAAGGTGTCTCCTTGGGACTTGTTTCGGAATGCTTCATGCCGAGGCCACAGCGCAGCACTTGCGGCCAGGGCCAGCTTTGTATTTCCTTAGGGCTTAGGGTTTAGGGTTTAGGGTTTAGGGTTTTGGGCTTAGGGTTTAGGGCTTCGGGTTTAGGGTTTAGGGTTTAGGGTTTAGGGTTTAGGGTTTAGTCCACCCAGGAAGCCATGTCAAAGCCACACAAAGGTAGGTTTGTATCTGCATAAATAAGCCTGCACATGTACGTACATACCTTGGCGTATGAACTACTTGACTAAGTCTCACCCGCCGAATTGATCCTGACTTCTTGTATCTTGCTGATTGGAAGTACGCCGACACCCTTCCGCTGTTGAGCGGATCTTGGCCTTAGTTGTCTAAAAGCCTAGCCAAAACCCTGACCCCCAGACTCGGAGCCCTCAGCCCCGAATCCTGAACCTCTATTAGCCCTGCAAAGGAAAAAAACACTTAACCCGAAACCCTAAGCCCTAAAAAGAAGCCTGTAGAAAACCTAAGCCGCAAGCCCTAACCAACAAATAATCCGAAAATTGCAGATGCGTTGCCCAGGCAAAATGAAACGCAAAGTTGCGCTGCAAACCCGTGACAAAGTGGAGTTTTTGAAGCTGGCTTGCCCTAAAGGCAAGGGTTTAGGCCTTTTTGTGCATGGTGTGCGCAGGCCATCTTGAGATTAGGGGTTGTTCGGCAGTCGAGCCAATCGCGCCGATGTCATGCACATTGGTGCGAGGCAGTGCATTTGCAATTTGCACTCCGGCAGCACGCAGATTGGTGCATTTCCAAGTAGCTGCACCTATTTCCCAAATATAAGTGCGTTGATGTAAGATGATGCAAGCGGCCTTGTGTCCTGTGTGTACCGCCAAAATCACCGAAACCTGTGGGCACTCGAACGTACTCCAAGAAAGCACAGACGAATTGCACAGGGACGGAAGCTGTGTCCGGAATGCCCTCTGAACATATTGAAACGCGGAAGAGTGCTTTCTCACGTCGCAGCGACAGAGTTGCTGAGGTGGTGTAATGTGGTTGAAAACCCAGGTCCTAGGTACTGGCTACCAGCAGCTACAGAAACCTGCTGCACATCAGGCATTGGGTCGGTGTGCGAACTCAAGCAGAGTTGGGAACTTGGTATCCGTTAACGCCAGTCCAAGCGACGGGGCGCATCCTTGAGCATGCGCCTGGCAATGATGCAGGCTGGCGCAGTTGCTGTGGGTGCGCATGATGCTGAATCCCACGAGCAGTGCAGACGGTGGATGCTGCCTGTTCACACCAACGAGCTGCAGGAGTGCGTCCAAGAGCGTCGACTGCAGCTCTGCGATCATAGCTGCGGTGGCTATCGAAGCTGCATGCCACGGGCGACAAGAAGGGATGGAAAGCGATTGACAGAAGCGTACTATGATGCCTCCTTTGCTTTCTGAGTCTACACGTGGTATGTCTGGGTTTTTTTTCGCCAACCCATTGCGTGTTCCTGACTCACAGTAGATGTGTTGCGGCTAGTATCGCAGCATCAGTCTTCAGTCTGCCCAACTCTGAATAACTGCCTGTGACGCTAGACAACAAAGGTCGCACAGGCACCTGTGCGCGCAAAAGACACGACATGCACAGGTTCCTCGTCCATGTTTGACAAACCTGCGGAAATGTGAATCGCACGTGTGCCTTTTACGATTTCATGTTGGCGGTCTTGAAAATTGTGGCTAAGCAGCTAAAGCCAGCCTTCGGCTGGAAATCTCTCGAGCCTCTGCCTACTGTTCAGTTCGCAAATCAATCTCAGCGGAATGGCACCGTCAACCAACATCTGGCACACATTGAGGTAGTCTAGAGTAGTCTGGCATGTGGACATTCAAGTCAGGGGATGTCAAATGTGAACTATGAGTAATTATGAGAACAAGCTTTAGCTGGGTCGCAACATGCCCTTGTCATGTTGCTCAGTGTTGCTCATGCTGCAAGCTCTCCGAGATGCTTCGGCACAGGCTAAAATGTTGAAAAGCACTCTGTCGAAGGGCAACTCCCTTCGCGTAGAGAAGAGTCTAGAGTCTGGAATCCGATTCTAGTTTGCAGACGCGCCCACCCAACGCACTTGGCCCAGTCTTGAAACGAAGTGCCCGCAGCCATAGTTCTAAAGCTGTGGGGCGCCTGCAGTACGGCTTCTCAGACTGTACTCGGCAAAAAACGCGGCTCTCATGCTCAGCATTTTGCCACGCGCTAACCGTATTCGAGGATGGTCATCAGCCGGCCGAAGTGTGAGAAGAGCTGCATGCTTGCGCAGACCTGATAACTGATGACACATCTACCTGGTTCGTCTTTGTGGCTACGCCATGCCCAAGTTGGTGTGCATTGAAATGCGCCGGCGGGATTTTCATACCCGAGTCTACCACTGCGCATCACTGCGCCTACGCGACCAGACCGCACACAACCTTGCGACCGGCGCACCCTGTTCGTCCGGCAGCCGGGAGAGTGGTATTTTAATACAGGGCCAGACAAGATGTTTCAGGGGAAATACACCGTCTTAACACAATGCTCAGGGCATGCAGCTTCCGAAAATCACTGGTGCTCTCGCGTTTTCGGCGGGTTTCTGGCATTCCTGCTCTTAAGACTCCCAGCTGCTCGAGACGTGCTCTCACCTCGCAACTGAATTGGAACGTCCGTGCCCGATCTCGCCCAGTACAATGGGAGCCCGAAGAATCATTTCCTGAGGCTTCTTCTCCCAGTCCTGCACACACTGCATGCCCACGTGATCACGATATATAGGGCTAGGACTGTCCATGGTGCCAGTGCCTAGCCGATGCTGCCAGGCTTACGAGCCCAGTACACGCAGCTGCTCACGAGAAAGGAAGCGAGTGCAGGAAAGTGCAGGAAAACGAGGGAGGATGAGCACCAATGCTGCAGCAGTGCAGTCCTTATGGAGATGGAGATGACGAGACTATGGAGATGAGAGGACAAAAAAAAACAACAAAAGTCTACCCTTGGAAACAATACGCGAAGTTCTCCAAAACTGCACTTGGCTGAATGTGTCTGAGATTTGCCTGGTTGCAGTCCTTGGTTGCGCTGTAGCGGGCTCGCGGCGATCGAAGGCCACAAGCATACTCCTGTCAAGCTGGATCTGCTGAACTGCGGGGATAATCACTGTGATATGGCGAGGCACAGGCTTCCTGAAATGTGAGGTACGTAGCGAGTGGCACAAGAAATGTTGACGATGCTGAAGATATCTGCTTAGTCCACAAGACTCGAAACGGAGCCCAGCGAGGACAGACGCCTTGCGCCAACTGCGTCTTTCCGTTGGCTCAGCTGGCAACATCCGCTCCTGCCAATACGTTTGATAACTGCGTGGTCTGTGTATCTCGTGATCTTAAAGCCAAGATTGGCATGAACCCACAGAGAGCATGAGCCTTGAACTGCATGCGGGCGTCAGGACACTGCAAGTTGCCACCTGGGCAGCTGTCCGGATGAACGGATAAAGGCAGAAGGCAGCACCTGTAGGCTTGATTCATCTCCAGTGCGGCGACAGGCAGATCATCCTGCCCCGCCTAGTGCACGCAGACGCCCTCCGGGCGGTGGTGTCGTCGGCACTTTGGCCTCAAGGCTTATGCAAGGGACCGTGACTTAACTTTGTATTTACATACACCCTTCACATCTTCTGGCCCTCTTTTTGATGTCCAGCTTGTCCAGCTTAGCTTAGAAGAAACAGCGCGTGCCCATTGCCCAGCAGGGCACCTTAAACTTCCGGTTCCGCGATGTGGAGGATGGATCAGCCTCACACGCAGGGGACAGACAACGGCAATTGCTCTTCTCGAAACCTCAACCCCTGCGCCACACTTCTGGGTGGAAGCACATCACGGACCCAAAACAGATTTCACTGGCCTACACGGCTTGAGAACCAAAGGGTGGGAGGGTTGTCTTAAGACTGGGTTTCTGCGATTGAAACCCAAATGCACAGTTCTCAAAGCTTCAGCCTACACGCCTGCCGAGTCTCAGGATTTCTCAACTGGCATCCAGTGGAATCGCTTGTTGCTAGACGTAGGTGCAAGAGCCTACTATGGCCTGGACGTGGCTTGTATTCTGAACATTGATGAAAGCTACATCCACTTCACCACTGGCGAGTACGGGACGCGCACTTGCGCTTCTGATGCGTGTCACAGGGAGGTCTTTTTGGGGACAGGAGCCATGGAATCAAGGCACTGCTCCCGGCACCGGCACAGGATTTCGCTCTGACGGCATCAAGTCCTTGCGGAAGCAGCTGTTTCTTCCGTAAGAGCAACTAACAAACATGTGGCAGACAGTAGGGCAAAGTCCTTCAGGTCTGCGCAGAAGTCGCTGACGTATGTCGTCTGCCAGCGGAAGGTCTTGAAACCTGCCAGTCGCAAAAGGCTCGACCCTTGAGAGCATCTTGATTCAACGGCAGTTTCGAATCCCACATGCACGCAAGCCTTATGAACGATGCCGATCCGAACCAGTCTTCGTGGCTGCGGCCAAAGCAAGAGTTCAGGGAAGGTGGACATGCTGGGATGGCTTACCTGGCAGCATCGTATCATACTGTAGAATTGGCACAGCATAGAACGAGTTGGAGTAGCACACCAAATCGTACGATACATGAAACAGACAGTAATAAAACAGTGGTTGCCATGGCTCTCGAAATTCGCAGTAGTCTGTTTTGTGTGAGACTCTGCCCATTTGAAGCGGATAAAGCCTATGTAGCAGAAGCCAAAATGATGGAAAGCGAGACATGAGAGATGATGCAGCAGTATCATGTAGTAGAGGAACTGTTCACACGATCGCATGGCAACATGAGAAATCTCAAGGTGAGAGGATTATGTGGTGTGAGATCTATGTTGCCCATGCTTGCCGATGAGAACCAAAAGCTTTGGCTCCCTTTGCTGTTCTTTGCTGCGGACCGCCAGTCTGCACGACATACCGTGATACTTGTACTACGATACTACAAATACTGTAGCTGGATCATGCTACCACCGCTTTTCAGATCACTAGAGCTAGTAATCTAGTACATGTTCCTGTCTTTCAGGCTCGGCGATGCTGCATGTACTCTATATTGTGCCCGTTCGACTGTTGCAGTATTCGGGCAGAAGGGTACCAGTTTGTTATATAATGGGCGAGTGCGTCAGTCTCCTATCATCATGCTACTCCATGGTGCTGGTATCGGATAAACTCGAAGCCTTGCACCGTGAAACTCTCTACCGGAAGCACGCTACAAAATTCCCGAGCCGTACTGTTGCTCCGTAGGCTTCCCTGGATGTTCTATCCATGCCTTCTTGTGAAGTGCGCTTCTTTCAAGGCACTAACGACCTCTCGCTGTAGGATATCCGAACTGGCTTGGCGCATGTTTCTTGTATGTCAAAGTAACGCCGTCCGCCTGCACAAGCATGCACAACATGTACACTAACCTACATGTGTGCAACTGTATGCAAACAATCAAAAAAATATGCACATATCCATGACATGTATGCAACATGTACCCATGTTTTCTGGCATTCCGTCAGCCACTCAGTGGGTACTCAATGTCATTCATCGTTCCTGCTGCGTGGTATGGTATGATGGTACTTTGTTGCTCTATTCTGCTGGCTTGGTTTGATAAGGATGTGAACAGGCACTCAATCCGTGCGTAAGCTTGTATAGGCGCATGTATAGAAAGACTGATGGATACTGGAGATACAGATATGCTCAGATACAGATGCGCCAGTACTTGTGACTGATTCTAAGTGTTCATGCTTTCATGCTTTCTGCTGCATTAATACCGCTCGTGACAGGGCATTGCTATGTTATCTTCGGGTGTCGGTACCCGTGCCCAGAGATAACGAAGTTGTGCGAGTTCCTCGGTACTGTGCTCGACTATGCCGTGGTGCATTAGCCGCAACACAATATCAAGTCAACACCGTTGCGACTTTGGTTAAACTTGCCATGACTACTTGTAGTGTGCTCATAAGCCTTATCGGTGCGTGATCACCAATATGCTCACACAGAAATTATTGATGATGGCAAATCGTCTTGTCAAATGGCGACTCATCTCTATGCAAAAAACTTAACAGCGTACCACATGGTTGGCACCGCTGTGGGGTTTCCAGCTGTAACATCACCATCATGGCAATGCCGACAGTCCGACAAGGAAAAAACCTTATGTGTGCCGTGTTTCTTGCTGAATGCGTTGACGACTTGCGGGAAGCACACGAGACCCCGTTGGTGAGCTCTCAGCCGACACAGCTCGTTGCTTCATTGCCCCAGTGGATCTCACAGAATCTCACATGCTAGTGACATGCTCAGGACGCTGCCCTGCCTTGGTAGATGTTGCGGAGGGGAGACTGGCCGGGGGCGTGTGCATCATGCCTTAGGGGCCGCTCCAGCTGCCGGACAGACTCGGCCCCGTGGCTGAGAGTCCCAAATAATGTACTGCAATACACTTCCACACAGGCTGTCGGCGAACTAAGTCTCCTGCATCACCTGCCCGCTCCTGCCACGACCACATTGCCAAACTCAGTCTGTCTACTAGGCCTTTGAGCAGCCGCATGATCGAAGGGCAACGGCAAGCATCAAACGGATCTTGCACAGCATGGCCCGAAACTTGGGGATGCGATCTGCATCATTCGCGATCTGCAACCAGGCCTGGCCTTGAACCAGATGCCGGGACTGGTTTGTTTGCTCGTGGCACGTCGGGTTAAAAAGCAGCTGAAAATAACCTTGAAGGCTTGGAGTTCCGGAAACCTTCTCAAAGGCAACTGTCACCACTCAAAACAAAACTGGACACATCTGGACACGACATCAAAGCCTGGGCGTGGGGTTAACACTGCTTCATGCTGTTGTTGCATACGTCATGCGGCTTGCGGCCAAAACGGCTACGGTTTTGGGACTGACATATATTGCGAGCATGCTGTCTGACAGCAAAAGCATGTGTCCGCTCACTTGTTCCTAGTTGCCACTTTCGGTGCAGCAAGAGGTAAGCGTCACACCTGACGCGCACTCACACGGTTCAGACTCTTGCAGAACCACGCGTCTGCAAAACATGGCGAAGCAGCTTCGGACTCAGTATCACAGGCAGCCATTCCATTCTTTGCCACTCTCCGTCTACATGTCCTGCCTATCGTGTGGCCACAGCTTCGGAACGAGTAGGAATGACTTTGCTGCGTCAGTTTCTCGAATGTTCATGTCGCAAAACAAACATAAACCACCCGACATGTGTTAGCTGCAAACCATGCTCATGAGGCTATTGTAAAACCGGTAACCTTTACGAATAAGAGGACCATCTAGACAGCAATAGTTATCCGCCACCAAGTTATTGTGCAAACAGGATGTCGATCGAATGGCTTATTCAGTGTTGCTTGTGATCTGATGCCACGCAGACCATCAGAATGCCTCAGAGAGTAGCACTGCCTTCCGGATGAACCTCTGTACATGAATCAAGCCTACACACGGCCAATTCTATGCGATGTGCGCACAGAGCGTGGGAACCCTCAAATCAACCAGTAAATAAGCCTCAGCCACGAATACTGCGCTAGATACAGTCCATGGGCTCGTGTGCGCAGGATCGCAGGGCACGTGCACTTACAAGCCGGACAAATTCTCACATTTGCAGCCCGTCTTTGGGGTTCAGAAACTATTCGGAGGCAGGCTCTGAGAGCTAGTCGCTCTCTCGAGTGCTCGGGCTGCTGTCGTAGGGGCCGTCGTCATCATCGGCATCCCACTGACAACCAGGTGGCAGGGGCAAGAGCAAAACTGCGCATCTTCGGAGCTTCCGAGCCTTGCGTGACATCTGGCAGCATCCTTCGGAAATCTTGTGGCTCCGAGGGTTGTTTCCGGGCACCTGGAAACAAGGCAGTAACACATACATGCTTCTTCGTCGCATTTCGTAGCTGACCTGCGTGGTCTCGAAGGAGAGGTAGGTGCGAGCAGTGGTTGTGCCGTCATCCCTGGCCAGGGGCAAACCAAAATCCGCTGAAACCAACTGGGCTTGAAGACTCAGGGTGCTCAGGGTTCAGAACTTGTGCAAACTCTGCCGTCACGAGATGATGTCATATCGACAAAATTTCAGCAGTCCAATCTGCAGGATGCCTTACATCGAACGGAATGATGGGAGAGGACCAGACCATGCCGTCTTCGTCACGGTCCTTCAGCCGCCACAACTAACACATTTGCAGGAAACGGAGCAACATCTTGCTACTGGTGCGGGCATCCTCCTGTCTGAGTCGTGGAATAACTGAGAAGACGGGAAAGCAAGCCTGCAAGTCATGATTTGGGGACAGTGCAGTCAGCACGCTGATTTGCATGGATTGAACAAGCCCCAGCATGCACGCATTTGCCTCGCCGATCTTGGTGCTGGTCAGCTGCACTGAGGCCAGCCAGAAATCATACTTGGTGCTGCTGGAAACGGCCTCAAGGTGTGGAGGCAAGTTTGTAAAGGCCTCCATGCGCATCGAATCCGACGAGCCGAAACTGCTACCTTCTGCAGCAGAGCAGCCACAAAGACTTCATCTGTGGGCACTACCTCAAGGGTGATAACCTTCCAGGCAAGAGGTTCTCTTCGCCAGGACTGCAATCTGCCCGGGCCTCTCGGAAACACCACTGCTCCTTTTCAGAGCTCCAGTCTCCCAACTCTGTTTCCTGCATCCACTGCGGGCCATCGATTTCTGCATGGACCGCCTCGCTTCGGCCTTAAGCTTGTCGTTGATGCGTATGCTGACATATGGCCGCTGATCCTGCACTCAAGGATATGTCAAGGCACAAGGAGAAGCGATCCAGGCTCTGCAGCCGTGCCTGCACCAGCCCGGGCCCTCCAATCTTCTCCACAGCTGCGCTGTGAACGACAATGCTCAACTTGAACCTGGCAAGACGAGCCCTACAAGCCGCTTCCCGAGCTGGGAGGTTTCCTTGACCTCTCGTCAACTCAGGCCAGGCTCACGGCCGCGTGTTGGCGGCACCTTTGCAGCTGGCCTTGTCACCGCTGGGATTCGCGTCGGCCCGTCGGGGGTCGCTGTAAAAATGGTCTCAGGCCGTGACTGCACAGGGGAAGGAGCCACATTGCGCACGGAAGGCATACCCAGCCTAGCTTGGATTGGACGACAAATAAGCGAGGATCACATCATTGTGATACTTCAACAAGGGATCTTTCGTGTGTCGGCTCTCGAAATCAAGGCCACGGCTAAGAAACTTGCTGCAGATTGGAGCATGCAGCCTCAGATGTTCTGTCGGCAGGGCAGAGCGGTCTCCCAAACTCTCCCAAACGAATTCTGGACTCGAGGGATCACTGGATCTCTTGGCTCGTGGCCGGGCACGGCGGAGGCGCTGCGCAGAATGTGACAGGCTTGGACGACTGCTTTTGGCTTCGGACTTCGGACCTGGTCTCTTCGAAGGTGCTGCTGAGATATTCAGCTGATTTCAGCGGTACCAACTCAGAGGCTCTTGTTCGTAGCCATCTCTACGCTGGAGCCGCACATGCCGGACAAAGCAGCGTGTGCAAAGAATGCGCTTTCGGAGCAGGGGCTGCATGCAGGCCAACACAAAGAAGATCAGCAAGCCCAGTCAAACTGAGGCAAAAGGGGCATAAAGCTACGTAAAGCCTATCACGAATTCAAGTCAGAACGAACAAGGCGTCCGCTAACGCCATGATTTTTCCCAATCAGTACTCCAGGCATGGCAAGATGCGATGCATCTGCCATGGTCGATAGGAAAATCTGAGGTTAGTGTGGTCGTGGCATTTGCCAGCTGCTCGGATGACAGGCCTGTACCATGTCACACCAGCTTGTTTGTCTCAGCTGCCTGTGCCAAACTGGTCGTGACAGTTGGTCCGACAAGCTCAATGCAACCATGCTGTGCAAGGCTGACACCCTATCTAGCAGAGTTGCGAAACTTCACAGAGAGTCGAGCATCTGCTTGTACTGAATGCTAGACTTGAACATTGCAGACGAGCCTTTGGATGCCGCAACATAAGCATCCAGTGTCTTCACAGCTGCACCATTTTCAAGTGCTGCCTGCGTCGTTTGGCTAAGCTTTCCCAGCAAGTCCTTCTGATTCCTGTCGTGTCCGATCCCGAAGCCAAAGGATGGGCCTTCGCAGCTGCGGTGCCCTCCTTGAAGTTTGGCACCTTCCATCCCGGAGGCAGAGGCGCCATGTGACAGAGCAAGCGAAATGGCCTTTCCCGCAACGTACAGAGCAGCGCTGGCATTCATCAGCACCATCTCGCGCACTGCCAAGCGACCCCTGCCGAGCACATATCCGGGAAAGGTGCACCAAGGCGAAACGCCGCTCATGCGCTGCGTTTGTTTTGTCACCTGGCCCAGCTGGCCTTCCTGCAAGGAGCTCACGCATCTCCACTGCGTTCTCCTCGGGGCTGTTGCCTGCAACCTACACGGAGCGCCATGGAGCTTTGACAAGCGACGAGGGGCCTCTCGCCGACGAGGTTGCCAGGCTTGTTTTGGCAGGTATGATCTTGGGCTTCACACTGGAGCAGAGTGAGAAGAACAAGGCAATCCAAAGAAGCTTGCCTCAGACAAGGGATGTGCAGCGACACCGAAGTCCTCGGGACGAACCTCGTGCTGGCCCAGCACGGCAGTTTCGACATATAGTTGTCAAGATGGTTCACGGAGATCTTAGAGCACTGTGGGACGGGCTTCGTACTCAGAGATCTCACCGGTCTCCTTCAACTCCCAGACCTGCAAGCGTTGCATCGGCACAACAACCAATTGGAACACAATCTTTAGGAATGATGTCTTGATATCCAACGAGGAAAAGCAGCGTGAATGCAATTTCGGCCGGTGTAGCCACTAGAAGAACCGGGTGAGTAGCGATTAGAGCCTTTGAGCTTTCGTGAGTCCTTACCAGGGCTTGGCATGGGCCACGCCTTCGGCGACAGCTGGGGGGCTCCGAAGTCTCGGGACGGCCAGCACGGAGGTTTATGCTTCCGAGTAGTGTGTCAATGTCCTACAAAATAGACGAAACCTCCAGCACCTCCCAAAAGGACCTGTACCAAGAACAGCACCCAAACAAAACGTCCCGGGAATGTCTCTCGTCATACATAGCCTCCGCTACAGAACGACAGGTGTGTAGGCAGCACTTGCGGCTTCACCACACCTAGGTCAGTCTTGCGGAACTTACTTTGGCACATTCACATCACCTTGTGGTTGTCGTCTTCCTTCGCAAAAAGCCACAGTGCTCATATGCTGCCCGCAGATTTCGTGCTGACCTGGGACAAGCCCGTTCAGCGCAAGCCTTCAAGAGAGCTCGGCCATGATACTCATATCTTCATGTTGCAGTTACCCACGCCATCGAATAGAGCCAGGTCCATCTTGGCATTAAGTGGGTCCGTGTGGAGAACGTGCGTGCACATGTCTGGCCCGTTCTGAATTCTGCACAGAAGCACAAAGCGGGGGCCTTTGACGGGCCGGCAATGGAAAGTTCGTCGAGGCCCTCGCAGCCGTGGACCACCAAAGCACGCTTCATTCCTGCTCCAAGTTCGCAGCACATCTTTGCGGCCACACTTCCAAATACCGATCGCCTAGCAGCTTGAAGACCTCAGCGAAGGAACGTCCGAGCGATGCGGTGAAGACACCTTAGGACCGTCAAGCACGTTGGCAAGGGAGCCAGGCCAATGGGGTAACAATCATATTGTACACTGTACAGAATCATGAGTATTTGACGTCGCTCAGGCCAGGACCACACACCATTCCATCAGGTCTTGCCGGGTTCGTCAGAGGGCCCAAGATGTTAAACACCTCAGTCGAGGTGCGAGCCAGCCTCAAGAATACGATCTAAATGCATGATCTGACTGTCGCCTCTCAATTTCTTTGTTGCGCTGGTCGCTGGCAGACTACTTCTTCGCAGGAATGAGTGGCCGAGGAAGCATCGCCGAGCTCATGGCAGTCCGGATTCCCATCTCCTTCCCGGTCTTACGACTAACACCACCGCATTTACCAAGTTTTGGGCTGTATATACCTCCCAACCTAAGCTCTCCATACTGCAGCTTGCGCACGACACAGATCTTTCCCTTCTCCCGCATAGACGACTTACGAAGCTTGCTTGAACGGTAGCCTGTCGGATTGGCCCGACGTGGCGCATTGCCGGGTGATAAGACCTGCAGACAAGTCACTGGAAAATGGACTTGATGTTCTGTGCTTGAGATGAGCAGGCATGGCGGTGGGATGTCTGCAGGCTCCGTTCGCGGATCAGACTGCTGTTTGCAGGTTAACTGAAGCTACCACAACGCCCACGCTATTTAGTCGTGTCTTCTTGCCACCAACACTCTTTCAAGTTTTGGCACTGTGACAGAAAGATTTCTGCACCTGCCTGGCAAAAAGAAAAGCGAAGCTGCCGGCAGCAAGGACCGGTGCTACCTGTCGGTGCCAAGCCAAGTTCATAGAGGCAGGGCGGTCTCGGCACTCAGAGACAGGGGCTGGCTACAGCAAACACCCCAATTTTCATGCCTGGCATGTGCACCACAAGTTTGCCTGTGGTCGGTCTCCGATCTCGGGATATCTCAAGAGCATGAACCAGGCGAGGTAACTACAGAGATGGTGGAGCATTCCGAATATCGCACAGCTGGCCTCAGCAGGCGCGAGTTCGAGCTTTGCACCCAAAGCCTCATGAGTCGCACAGACACCGAATGGGCTGCCTTTGCGATACGCAGGCCTCCAGAATGTCAGCTGCGCCACTCTTGGAGGAGGCGGCGCGGTTGCCATGCTTGACAATTCGAGCCTCGGAAGCCAATGCCATTTTCTGCCCTGACACAAGAACGCGTGCAAGTTTAGCATCCAGCTCCAGCACCAGCTGCCGCCAGGCCGGCCGCAGTTGAAATGTTAAACGTGTCCTGACGCACATCTTGCGAGGCAGGAAACACCGTCTTGACATCCTAAATCCTGCAGAAGACAAGGTCAAGGAGACAGCACATGTACAATAAGACTTCAAGCTCTATATGTGCATGTCAAAAGCAGTTCATGATGAAACGACATCGTCATGAAGCGCGCAACAGCCTAGCAGACCTTCTGAAGTTGGCGCAAACTTGTCAGAAATGCCTCTGTCCTCTTGTAATGATGCTACGTCTTGGATCTTGTATAGGTTACATACCAGTCGGACCAGGCTCGGTAAGACTTCCACCGAGCAACCTGGGATAACATTCTAGGTGAGGCTTCTTTTGAGGTTAAGGCTAAGGTGCTAAGATCCCTTGAGAAGCAAGGCTGTGAGGGCCTGTCAGAAGAATCCCCTACAACCATGCGGGCCTGACCATCCCCACCAGTGCCCACAATGTCGACGATGGGCCCAGCAGCTCGCGGGACCTTTCAACGAAGCTCCACACAGCTATTCGGACCATACTCGTGAGGCACACAGAGTCAGTTCGTTGGCTGGAAACTCAGTGACGTCGAGCGCTTTGAAAAGCTCTTTAGCCTTTCAGACCGTGCGATCACGCCCTCATTCACCGATGATGCCATCAGGACGGATGCGGATGCAAGATAGGGGTACGGAAGCGTTTCCAAACCAAGGCAATCGCCCCCATCCCCACGACGCCTTAGGCCACCAAACTCGTTTTTTGAATCAGGAGGAGGCCCAACTCGCCCCGGTCCGACGGCGGCATCGGGTCGAAACGCTGACGACGAGTGCTGGCGCATGAAAGAGAAACGTGCACCATATGGTGCTCAACCAAAAGGTGTGATATGGTCAGCCATGCTGTAGCACCGTACTTGCCAGAAATGCTGAAATTGTTTAGAGTTCGGCGGCTGGTGTACCGGAGGACGGGTCCAAGAGCTTGGAAGGGCGACGAATGCAACCGGGTAATCAAAACATCGAGACGCCTGGGTTTCTGTGGCCTGCGCCCACCACTGTGTTCGGATTCTACTGCGTGCAAGCGGCTGCAATGCCACATCCCACACCAAGCGGAAACACCCTCATGAAGCACCGGCTCTCTGAGCAACAGCGATGTCGAAAGCATTAACTTGAAACCGATTGTCGAAGCCTCCACTGCTAAGGCGTTGCTTCGCATCACATCGGCCAGGGCATGAACCTGGGAGAGGTCTCCAAAAGCCACTCGAGGTGCAAGATTCCAGAACCTGGTGACTTTCCTAGCCCCTGGCGATGCTCGGCGTGCACTTCTCCAACCTAAGCGTGATCCATCCGACTGACAAGGAAACTCGGGCGTGAAGCATTGTAGTGAACCCAAGCACGCGAGGCAGCAACGATAGAAGGGCCAGGAAAGCCCCCATCTGGGCAGCTGTGGCCTCCGCTACAAAAGATGTCCCTGCTAACTTCCAGATTTGTGCTTCTCCCGAGCCCCTGAAGCTGCGAGAATCGGTTGAGGCTCGCCTCTCCGTTCATGATCTCGCGCATGGCCGCATTGGCCTCCGGCGGTGCTTCATGCAGAGCCCATCAAGCAGATGCAGTTGGCTTAGATGGCTCAGCTGTCGAATTGGTGATTATGTTAATTCACTGAGGCCCACAATTCCCCAGTGATGCCGGCTGCACAAAACAGTTTTGGCTCAAGGAAACAGCACTGGAAGTAAGTGGAACTTGGCTGCTGCCTCACGTCACTTGTGCAAGCAAGCTTGGCTTCAGTTCCAGGCCGTCTGGCTGGTTGGAAACTTCACTACATCGGGCAACTCTCTGCCTGATCCGGCTGAAGCGGATCGCCAGCTGCCAGCGTCTTGACCGCAGCTTTGACTGAGCCTCCTAACAGTGTTGCTGCGAGGAGTGTTGCAGAGCTCTTGGCTCTTGGAGCTTCAACGACAAGAGGAGCGGCTCCTGCCGGCTTGGTCTTCTTAGCATCCGGCGCCGACATTGTGCTTGAGATGCGCACGTCAAGCTTCGGGAAACGATGTCTTTGCTAGTATGGAGACATGCAGCTTGCACAAGGTGGTTGCAAGTCTTAGCTGCCTTAGCTCAGCTCTCGTCGAAAGTCCTTTTCAAAACATGTCATACGGCTTTCGCTGCAAGCTGTGCTGATGCTGTTCATTCGACGAGGCCAGCGTACCGGTCGTAGCCGCTGTGCATGGCGCGGTCGATTCCTATGTCTCATGGTCTTTAAGCTCAAAGAAGCAGCAGAGTGGGATGTGCTGGTCTGGTGTTCAGTTGTGCACACATGTCTCATTGCAGGGTCAACCTTAGCTGTGGCTTTGCATACCGGTCCACAAGCCTCATCACTGAGCTCCCAGGCGACTCGAACTCACAGACACGAACGGTGCGCACCTTTTCCCCTTCAGTGCATCCACAACATGGATTGGCATGTCGCAGCCGACATCTGTGCCGGCATCTCCCTGCCATTGCCCAGTGCAGCTGCTGCGCAGTTTGTATAGTCAGAGATCCCAATCTCCATGTACGGGATTTAGAAAGGAAAGCGCCTTCATGGCCCGAAATCCTAGAGACAGCGCAGGCATTCTGAATTTCCAACTCTGCGACTTTAGTGTGCCTCTTCCATCAGCGGCCAAAGGTCTGGCCCAGGTTCTTGACCTGTCAGCCGCCGGGTTTAAGCTCAGGGCAGCTCAGGTGTCTTCACTGCAAGTAAGCGCCTTGTCAGCATAGTCATTGTCCTGCAACCCACTCGCAGCTTCCTTCGCGGCAGACGCAGCCTGTCGGCGACATGCAAAGTCAACACATGTCGGTGACACTCCCATGACGACCCACGATGCGATCAGTGTGGCGACAGCCCCGAGGACAAGCTTATGCCCTGCTAAAAGTGCAACTTTTGAGGCAGCCGCTTCCCAGCAGCAAATGACCACAGGCTACATGCACGAGTGATGCTCCTGTAAACGGTGCTCTACGAAGAAACGTCAATGCTTTGCACGCACCCCCGATCATGTCCTTCGACTTCCTAGTTGGGCGTGCATGGATGTGCATGGTAAAGTCGTCCGGGCCCACAGTTTACCCGACACACCCAGAGAGACAGAGAGAGAGAGAGAGAGAGAGAGACACTGTGGATGAGCACGTAGCTGTGGCGCGAGCACAGCCGGACCACTGCATCTGACAAACGTGTCCCGCAAGATTCTGACGACTCTGAATACCACAAAGGAATACAAAGGACACAGGCTCTCGCGCTCATGTGTGGTCCGTGCATGCGAGCGTTTCTGTTGTTCGATTCTTAGGTTAGATATGAATCGGCAAGAACGGGATGGATCTAGGATTATGCGAACGTTCCTCTTTCGCACACCTGTGCGACCCACCCAGGATTTCTCCCACATCTATGCCGCGCCACGCAACATATCCACGCTTCCCAGTTGCATGCACGTGAAATCAGGTGAACATCAACACTCAAGGCATCATCCCCACATGTATCGCTCTTCCCAGTCAGTGCCTGGCCAGCATACTTTTCAGCGACCGCTTGGTAGTCTCCGGCTGCTGCCCCGGCTGCTGCTGCGTACTCTCCAGCGGCAGAAGCTGCCTGCCCGAGCAAGTGCTGTAGAGTGGGATGCACACGGTAGATCAAACTAACTTCAAACAATACAGACCCACAAACATACGAAGCGAATCCTCGATGTCCAAGCACAGTCTGCTGGCTTCGGATTCTCGGGCTGCGTGTGTAGCTTGCTTGCTTACGCTGACGTGCAATCCCATCCCGGGTCATGTCCTATCGGAGCTTACTGGTGTGGGCTTGGACGGTGTGGCTCTGTCCAGCTCTTTCTGTTCCGACACGTGAAGCAACAGAATAAAACCTCCTGAGTAACCAGGGACAAGCAGCCATGACAGAACATGACAGAATCTTCAATCTTCGGTTCGCCTGGCCAGCGTACTTCTCAGCGACGGCCTTGTAATCCTCTGCTGCTGCTGCATACTCTCCGGCCGTGGAAGCTGCCTGCCCGGTGTCAACACCCGGCCCACAACGACGTTGCGAAGCAACTGTTCGCGCTAAGCCTGGGTCGCCATTCGTTCTGCTTGGTCTTTCGCAGAGTCAGCAGCCTCGAAAGCCTTGGCACATCCCAAACTTGCAGGTGAGTTTCACGCAAGGGGCGTGAACACAGCCATCACAGTATTTGTCATGGGCGAGGCCTTGTCCATCATGGACTTCAGCGTGTTCAACATGTCCTGGGAATCCTGGCATCATAAGCATCGAACATGCCAAAACCACAAGCGAGGCCAAATGCTGGCTGCCTATGGTGCACATGGGATTATGGACTTCAAGCAGTCGCCAATTGGAGTACCGATTAGAGTAAACTCCTATCCGGCTTGTTGAGGAGGCCACGGTGTGCAGCTGCTTCGCAGAGTTTAGTCTCTTGACACTGCCGACAGGCAACCAACGTAGCCAAGTCTGCGGATTCGCGCCCTGACCACCGACAGATGCAAGCACGGAGACCGACATTCGCGGACCCAGGATTCGCAGATGCACTGCCGGAATGCCGGCAGAGGGCGCACACCACCGCGACCTAAACCCAGTTAAAGCTGCACCCGACAACCCTCGTCCTGGACATTCAACACCGCAACACCGCAAATCCTGAAAATCACAAACCCCAAAAAACCTAAATCGTAATCACCGTGAACCCTAATCAAAGGCTGACCCTTTCAGGCAACCCTAAACCGTATCCTCAACCCTTGAAGATCTAAACCCTAAAAACCCAAACCACTGAAAGCCGCAATTTAAATGCCGCTATTGGTCGAAAACACATGAACCAGTCGCGTTTACATTGCACATTCTTGAATTCCGTCGTATTACAAAGCTACTTGGCACATTGAAGAGCATTCTGTGATCCATCTGTGGTGGGTGGCAGTCGTTTTGCACGGCATCGCAGTAGCCCTACTACTGCACTGGCAAACAGGTGCAAGAGGAAGTCACGAGCTTTGCTTGTCAGGAGGCTTGCAAAGACCGATTCAAAGCCGCAACTTGCACAGCTGGAGACAGCAGGCGTGTCAGATTAGGAGTAACATGTCGGCTCCACCGGGTTGGCAGCCGCCTCGGCGATCTGCTGTTCCAAGACAGCAGACTTTTCGCGGGCCGACTGGATGACCTGTGGCCACTCGCGACAGATGAACCGCGCGGATCTGAGAATGACCCGACGACGCGTGGCCTCTTCTCCGCGGCTCTTGGCAGCCTCAAGGCCTAGCAGGTCCGCAGTGAAGACAGCATGCGCAAGGCTCAGCGGCACTTCTTTCGGCCTGCACCATCCGAGCTCATTTCGGCCTTGATGGCCTCCACCTGTTTATCCTTCGCCTAGCGAAACAGATCGCGTAGCTCCGGACGAAACTCGCAGCTCGCAGATTTCACATGGGGCCTCAATCTCTGCCTTCAGCTGCGCGAGGCGGCTCTCTGTCTCGACAAGCTCCTCCGCTCAGACAGCGGATGCTCTGGCGATAAAGGCCTTTCCTGCACCGAGCACATGCAGGAAAAAAAAAGACGCCTGAGAGAGACCATCCTTCTCGCGGAGGTGGACTGCCTAGGCTTCATGCTGAGAAACAATCAGCCACCTCCGTGCGACAGCTTTTAGGACACGGCCAAGCGGGCGCAGAGGATGTCAGTGGATCCGCGAAGGAGCAACACCTTCCAGAAAACATTCTCTTGCCTCCATCCTGAGAACATCAATAGGGCGGTTCAAGGTATGCCGCCTTCACCAAAAGCTGTGCAACGGGAAGGCCAAGGCCAACATTGTCGAAGGCCTTCCATGTCGGCGCAAAGGATAAACAGTGGCATGGCATCGACTTTGACTACTGTAACTGTAGCCCCGGCACTCCAGGTTCGGGCTTTCTATGAAAAAAGGTGCCTTCGCTTTTGCAATGATCTTGGAGGACACACTCTCCATGCCTCAGCAGCGTGGAATGTGCAGAACGCATCATGCCTGGCTGCCTCCCCACTGAAATGTGTTCTATCACTTTGCTTTCTTTTTTCCTTCCGTAAGTTACAGGGAGCACCGTTTCCTCTGCCTGCACGATATGTACGGAGATGTTGGCTGTTGAGTTTTCAACTAAAGGATCGGCCTTGAGTCGGCGAAGATGACAGCCGCTGGCCCGACGTCCCTTCCTTCAGTCGCTCCTTCCCGTGTAACCACGTGCTTCGACGGGCCTGGGGGAAGGTCGGGAAAGAAAGGCCGCTTCTTGCAACAGTCTCACAACCCTCTGCAGACACGCGCGAGCGCGCGTGCACGGACAACTCGACACCGCATCAGAGTCTGAAGCCCTGCTGGCTTCACACACACTTCTTCCTCTCCTGTCGAACACGGGGGAAGTAGAAGCGCTGGCACACCCCCGTCCGCCGTGTTCGGTAGTAGCGTTAGCATGATTCAACTGCTCCCCTTGTTTTCGGAGTACATACAGAAGTAAGCATCACTGTCTCCTCTCGCCTTCTTGAACAGAGTTGAAGGAGAGGTGAGCACACACACACACACACACCGTTCTTTGCATCGTTTCGCGGTGTGAGGGGCGGGCAGTCCCAACCCCCTGCTCCAGGGAAACCGAATCCAACATTTTGTGCGGATGGGCTCGGCTGTAGAAAAGAGTGGCTCCCCATTGAGAAAGGCCAGTGGGGCGTCTCTCGCTCTCTCCGCCTTTAGCCGGAATGAAAGTTGATGCATGTCTTGTGCACGAAGCTAGAATCTCTGAGGCCGCGTCTCAACACCGTCTCAGATGCCCAGCAGAAGACTGTCATCACCTCGGCTTGGCGGGAGTTCCGATCCGGACCGCAACCCGCATGCTGTTGCAGTATAATGCTGCCGAAGCACGTTCACGAAAAAGAACAGGACGGCCTTAGGCCGCTGTACCGCTGTTGCGATAGTCTGCTTCACCGGATGTGCACAGATGCAATTTTCTAAGTTACAGAAGCGAGACCCAGACAGAGTCTGACATCTTTACTCTCTTCGCAGATCTACGCAGATGTTCCATGTCGCTCTGCGGCAGCGGCCAACAGGACGGAGATCTTTGCCGCGCAGACCGTGACCCAGGCAGCACAGTAGCTGGACTCGTCCTGAGATCTCACTTTGGGCGAGTGCCCGCTACCTTCAAAAAGGCTGCAACAGCCACGACGAGGCCGACACCGCAGCAGAGGGATGGAATGCAACAACTCCCGGGACCTCGGCAGAAAGCAAGGGTTGAAGTGAGCGTGGAGTATTGCCGCTTCTGCGTGACTGATGGGCCTAGAACATGCCGAATCAACAGCAAAGAGACATAGAATCTCAGAGCAGTCTGCTAGCTGCAAGGGCTTCAATCTCTCGCCGGTCTCCGCTTGAGGTGCTGGCAAACATGTAAGCGAAGTAGAGGTAGGTGTTGAAGAAAGTCGTCAAGAGCCACCTTGGCTCAGGGCTTGCTGCCAAGCCATAGAACACTCCAGGATAAAGCTACGAACACACCGGGCAGAAACGGAAGAAGCTGGCTTTTTCAACAAACACTAAAATGAGAACACGATGCAAGGACAAACACAACGGCAAAAGAGCGAACTTCTCACAACGAAGGCAGGTGCAGAGTTAGTCCACGCCAAAATGCACAAAGCCTTCATGGTAGTGCGAAGAAGACTTCCAACTACCTCTTTGTTACAGTATATTATATGGTATATTATATGGTGTATTATATGGTATGTTATATGGTATATTAGATGGTATATCATAGTATATACTATAGTATACCGTGGCATCTTATATCCAGGTCCGTGTGTTTAAAGGGCCTCGCCGCTCCGCCGAGGTCTCGGGCCCCGGCAGGAGAGTGCCGAAGCCGACGATGTGCGAGAAGAAGCCGACACGGGTGCTGCAAAGATGAAGAAAGATGCGCAGAATCTTCGGTTGTGCCGATAAAGGAGGCTTCATTCTACTGCAGCTCTTGATGTTGCTTGAAAGTTGGATCGGGCGCCCGGCTTGCCCTCGCAGACCACTGCGTGCTGCAGCGTGGTGGCGTAGACTTGGCGAGAGGGCTTTGTCAAAAATGCAATGTTGCTCGAAATCATACCTCACCACGAACTATTCATGCTCACGCAGGCTCATTGCCGTGCGACTTTCCCTGTCCGATCCTGGCCGGCTGGCGCTGCGCATCTTCACTCTTGGGGCACAGCACAGGAACAGCTGCTTCAACTCTTCAATCCTGGGAGACACCCGAGTATATACTTAGAACATTGTAGAACCCGAGCACTCGTGGAAGTACCTGTCTTGCTGGCTTCCACAGAACTAGATGAGCCTCTGTGTAGACAACAACTAGACAGGGCGCATGCTAATGGTTCCGTGATGTGAAGATGTCCCTGCTGTGGCTTGCTGGCTGGCCTAACTCGCACATCTCTGCTCAGATCATTCATGGTCGAATTTCTTTCTGTCAGAGCCTTCCTGTCAAAGTACTTTACATCTCGTCATTTGGCCACGGCACCCGGTGGAGCTGGCATGGCCCGTGGCCTCCGGCAATTGTGAAGTCTGTGTTGGTCCCGGCTTGTAGCTTGCATTAATGCAGACTTGAATGAACCTTTTCATCTACGAGCGACCATCCCACTTTAAGAAGACAAGCGATGATTCGCTAGTTCACCGATCCTTCGCGAGCTGCTCCTTCATCTCCTCGTTCTTGCGGCGAATGGCGGACTGAAAGCGGCAGGTGAAGCTGCAAGAGAAGTCTTCTCATGTTTGCAGAGAGCAGAATTATGCACACGGGCCCACCTTGGCCAACAAGCATTTGATAGCCTGCATCCCGATTCAACATCTGTTTGCAGGTTTCCAGTTTGCAAGTTTGCACGACTTCGACCCGTTCGACAGACTTGCGTGACCATGTCTGCCCCTATCTACCCCTTCCTGCGGCTCCAAGGCCCCGACCAGCACGAGACGGGCGAGCGTTACTAGGCCAGCGATCACACCCACGGTCCTGGCCCAAAGCCTTCCAGAGCCACACATCGAAACCTCCCCGACTTTGCCGAGAATCATGGAAGGTCTTAAAACCTCGCCTGAGTCCCGGAATCGATTTACAGGGATGGTCTGCGTCGGCATACCTGGCATCTATCCCAGAGCTTGATGCAGAAAGGCTTGTGGCCATCGCAGCACGACTCCGAGGGCTGCGTTTCAGCAAAAAAACTTTGTCGGCTCGACTCAGAGTAGCCCACCACGCACAAGACCGGCAGGAGGACGATGAATGTCTGCAACAGGTGGCCTGGAAAACTGCAGGAGCTGAAGTGAACGGGAAAAGGTCAAGGCACCATGTACTTCAGAGTACATTCGTAGGCAGCTTCCAAACACATTTCAAAAAGCAAGCGAGGTGGCAGCTCGGACAGCTAGCGTCTGCTAATGTTTGCAACTCTGTCAAGCAGAGTGTAGCTGAGCTTGAAGCAGGCAATGTTCAAGTTCAGGTTCGCCTTGCACTGTTCAATTTCCCATCTGCTGGCACAGGCTCAAATTCGCTGTGCGGTCGAGCAACGGGCACGAGAAGGCCAGCCAAGAGCACGGAGAGGGGCGGGAAGCTGGCCGCCACTGCTGCATCCTGGTCATCTCGGCTGAAACTCCATGACTTTTCCACAAGATTGGGTTGCCCACGTCATCCACCAGCACCATGAACTCCTGCGATCACTTTGCAGCCTGCCTCTCTGCTTCGTGATGCCGCATTGGGCTACGTCTTTGTGTGAGCCTCCATCTGCAAGGCAGTTGCCACTGAGCCCACTGTGTCTGTGAGCTCTGTCATCACGAAAGCCTGGAGACCACGTGTGCTGCCTACGAAATGCTGGTCTCGAAGAGCACACCGCCTTGCCTTGGCCTTATCGGCAAGCGAGCCGACCTTGTCGTTCACAATGCTCTGCACCTACGGCTGGCAGCGAACGGCAGGACAAATCTCTTCGCAGCTCCCTTGTCTCTGGTCGGATCAAGAGGAGAGACCCCTAAAAAGACAGATTGCAGAAGACAGTGAATCTATTGTCCGCCTGGCGACTACGTATGACCAGCTAGCTGGCCTGTGCGCCCTTAGCCACTTTCGGTCCGAGGTGGTCTGCTGTGCGCTGCATCACCGACTTCACGAGATCCTCACGGGCGTCAACTGCTTGCATCTGAGAGAAGCACTTCCGCGTGGAGCGCGACAACGCTTCCACCCAAAACTCAGCTTAAACCAACCCTCCAGCCAGAATCCTCATAGTCTGCCAGAGACGGGCCGGCTTCCTGCGAGCAGTCTTTGTGCTCGTGCCACTGGGCTGTGCATCAAGAAAACACGCAGGGTCCTCCTCAACCACCTTGGCAGGGATGGCCTCAGAGAACCAAATTAGCTCAGTCCCCCGCTCTTCTTCCAAAAAAAACACCCTTTTCCTTATATTTTGGCTCAGAGCTTTTACACCGAGCCGGGAGCAGCTTCCACGGCCTCCGGCTCGTCGATCTCTTTCCTAAAGGACTCAGCATGCTTTAGGGAAGGACCTCCCCAGGTTCTTTGAACAGCGTGCTTCTCATGAGTCAACGTACGGACGACAGGTCCTACTAGTATGAGGAGCTTCAACTGCAAATTGCGGGACCCGGGTCCTGTCCGATCCGGGCGTGGAGGTCCAGAAGAACACCAGGGAGCCCGCCAAGGCAAAGCAGCCTCTCGCAGTTGCACGGACACGCTCGACATTACGACCCCTTCGATGCTCGTGGCTCTGCCACGACGAATGCGCACTTACCACGTTGGAAGCTGGGGCAGATGCAAACTGCGGCCAGCACATAGAGCTGATTGCGGAGAGTTTCGGAGGCCTTAGGTCACAGAGCCTGTTGTGATGCCCAAACAACGTCGCGATCGGAGCTCACCGCGTGGTTTAAGCACTCGTTTGCAGAAGACTGCGGATGCCAGCTCCTCCCCCCGAGCTCCACGCTTCCCAGCTCAAGAAGTTGGAGTCCTGCCCACGATGCCCCAGGGCAAACATTAGAGTACGACAGCAAAGTGGCGTATTGATAGTGGTTCCTGACGGAACTCTTGAAGCTCGTACTATCCCCCAGTCACTCTCCGAGTACGAATGTAGCTTGAATGCGCGCAGTCCTTTCGCAGTTGCTCATGTCCAACATTAAGGGCCGCCTGAGTAGCGCACATCCTTCACGGCTAGCGAACTCCAAACCGACGATGTCTTGGCTGCGTGCCGCGGAAGAAAGCAGGCACAGCGAAATCCAACGAGCCATGTCTGGGCCTTGGATGTGGAGAGACGGGAGTCCCACAGGAGTCAAGACCGAAGCCTTTCCTCGGCAGCTTGGGCCCACGCTGCACTCGCTTCTGGGGCCAGGGGCAGGACACCAGGAGCGAACTTCAATAGAAGCTGAGAAACTGGATACGGCGGCACGACACATCGACCATTCCGCACTGACGTGCTGCAAGGACCCAATTGTGTGCTCCCACTACTTCTCAGCTACCAACAGACTGTCGCAGTCTTTTTTGCCGATCTTTACTCGTCCTCGGAGCCTGAGAACTCCTGCCTCATGCTGTCTAGCTTATCACGATCCATGTCCTTCAGAAGAGTCAGAACCTTCCTGGGCACAGGGAAGCGGCATTGCACACATGCACATAGCACAGCCCCAGCACCGGTAGCAACAAGACTGCCGCCAGAGAGGCAGCATCAGCGGAAAGAACCAACAGCGCAAATGTTGGACAGAGCAGACCAGAAAGGATCAAGTCCAGCAAACTCCGAACAGGCTTGTCATCCCCCGACTCCGACAGGCATGTCATTCCTCTCCCCTCTGCGACTTCGACCCGCGCCTTCCCCGCAAGACGCATGGGAGGAAGACAGTGCCTACCTGACAGGACTGCACTGCGGCTTCAGGGTTTGGAGGGTTTGGGGCTTAGGAATTCCTGGCCTTCACGTAGTTCCCATAGGCAACCCCACGAATCGTCTTGCCCCATGTCACATGGGTCTTCCGATCCTGATGCCGGGCTCAGGTTGTTGTGCTGCTTCACACCCGACCGTTGCATATTCCTTCCGAGGCGGGCGCCATTTTTCCAGAGCTGGTGTCGAGGTGGTAGTAGAGGCCCGCCTCGTAGCCCTTTGGAGGCTGACCTCAAAACACTGAGAGTGGGAGTGATGCATCTGAAATGGAGCTGCTGCTGCTGCTGCTGCTGCTGCTGCTGCTGCTACTGCTGCTGATGCTGTATCATAACCCCCAAAACCACCCCCAAATACACATTCGCCAATATTTCTAAGTTGCCATGCACACACTCAGCAAACCCCTAATATAAACATGCCTTGAAATGACTGGCTGCATGCGTCTTCTGCATTTGCTGGGATACCGGCTTCGAGGAAAATTCGTCTTGTCCACGACGAAGGCTTCCTCCTTGTGAGCTGCAAGAGGTGTCTCATCGAATACATCAGGATGCCATGCAACCATTTTGAGCTCTCGACTTTAAATTCCGGCGGGGTTTGCGGCTGACGCAAGTCTTCGAAGACAGGGTTGAACCTTGCAGGCACTGCGTCAAGCGCCGGTGTTGCCCAAGCTCGCTCCGCCCGACGATGAGCACTTCATGAAGCTCCCCTGAGCCAGCCACACGATGTTCAACATCTGATATCCTTGTGCCAGCACCGCTTTGTGAAGCACTTCAGACGGGTTGAAGCTCTGGCGGGGTTGTGCCTCCATCCTCATAGAACTCGACCCAGTAGCTGGTTTCCATGCCCTGTCGGGACGTGTAAGAAGGGCGGAGAGGGTTTTTTGGATGCCTAATGCTGGACTTGCGATTAGAATTTGTTCGTTTTGCCCCAAGCTATTGGGGGAGTGCAATGTCGAGTCTTCTGTCTTGTGTCAAGCTATTGGGGAATTACAATTTGCACGGTCTTGCTTTGCTTCAAGCTATTGGGGAACTGCAGTTTGCAGGTATTGGAGAATTCCAACTGGGTGTTGTTTTGCCCCGAGCTATTGGGGGAGTGCAATTTCGAGGCTCCTGTCTTGTGTCAAGCTAATGAGGAATTACAATTGGGGAATTGCAATTAGCAGGGTCTCGTTTTGCCCTAAGCTATTTGGGAAGTACACTTTACAGGGTCTTGCTTTGCGTCAAGCTATTGCGGACGTACAGTTCGCATTTTTGGGTTGTGTCAAGCAATCGGGAGTTCCGACTTGCAGGGTATTGTTTTGCCCCAAGCGATTGGGGGATTACACTTTATGATGTATCTTAGACATGCCCCTCATATGGCAAGAACGGTTCCTCATATTTTTTAAGCACGCCCCTTACAGCGGTTTCATCATACATCATAAACGCGACCTTTCATGTGACGATTCCGACTCCATATCTTCAACACCCCCCCTCCCGTCGCGCTTCCCGTTCATCATAATATATCTGAAACACGCTCCTCATGTGATTCCGGCTCATCATATACCTTAAACACGCCCCCCGTCCCCCAATTGGGCGAGACCGCTTCACCATATCCGCCGACCCCGCTGGGGCGGCGC